GAATGAAAGAACCCGCAACAGACTAACCAGAGATAAAATTATTGAAATCATAGGTAGGAATGATTTTAAGGAAGTAGGAGCAAGAAATGGAAGCAGTATTTAAGCAGTTTAATATTCAAGTTAGAATTTTTAATTTTGTAAATGAACTTATTTACAAATATAACCCAAAAATAAGAAACCGTCATATTAAAACATTTTACGCTATGGTGAAAAATAACCATATTTATACATTAAACCACGATTTAAGCAAAATACAACAAAAACAAGTAATATCAAAACTACCCACTATAAAGGCACACACTGATTATTATATAAATGAAAGAGAGGAACCACCGCAATACAAAATGATTAAATGTATAGATGATATACTTAAAATTAAAACTGATGATAAAACAAGGGAAGTATATTTAGTACCCGAAGATAATGATTTGGCAGAAATATTTTTCCAGTTGATAAATATTGGATATGAACCCAGAATTAAATACACAGGTATTATTGATGAAATTAGAGTCAAATTTAACAAGATAACATATATCATAAAGACTCAAAATTTAATTAAATCATCCAGCGATGGTTGGATCGCAGCAAATAATGAAACTATGTACAACAATATGAATAAAGCAATGTTTAATTTTAATAAATCTTTATTTATTTTATCTCACAAATCTTTTTATAATGACATTGATATAAAAATATTAAACGAAACAAGGACTGTAGCACCTTCGGGATTATTATGGGATAAATTTAATTTAATGCGTAAAACTGAAATCGATGAAAATAAGGCATTTACAAAGGGTTTCATAGATATTACTGAAATACCAGTTTTTAATCAGTTTGACAATTGGAAAGAATACAATGATGCAATTAATATTGATGAACTCCACGATCTAACATTATATTATATTGAAGTTAACTATCCGAATATACCAAATAAATACAGTATGGAACGTATTAAACGTAAACATCTTTTGGAGGAAAGTTTAAAATTTAAATCAAAAGAAGAAGTTGAATTCATAATGACAAAAACGTTACTGGGGAATAAAGAGGGCTTAATGTTTAATAAAAAATATAATTTAGTTTATGGTAAGTTTTTAAAAAAGTTTATTAATCAATATAATATTAAAGTATTATATTATAAACAACCTTCGTTTATTCATAAAACAAACTATAAGGATATGGTTAATGAACTTGGAAAACTACTATAGATGAAGATGATAAAAATGATGATATACTAAGTAAAAAATTAATAGGAAATGTCAATTTTGGATTATTAGAGAAGGGAGAGGCTACCGCGCATCAAAGCGTTTTGTTTAAGAGTATTGATGAAGCAATCCATTATCAAACGGAATACGGAGGCAAAATTCATAAGTTATCACAGATAGAAGGCAAAATTCATAGGTTATCACATATAGGTACAGAAGACGAAGAGTGTAAAGAGGAGTATGAAGAAGAGTATAAATATGAAATAGATAGAGAAAATATAAAAGCATCACATTATATATTAAAATTAAAGGATAAAGCAGTATTAAGAAACGGCTATAGATATATTAAAGAACTACTCATGCAACATCATAATTTTAAAATGAACCAAGACATTTACAAATTAATAATCAACGATATTAATGTATATAGTGTGAAAACCGATGCTTTTGTAATTGATTCATACAATGTAGAGAAAGCAAAGCAATTATTAGAATTTCATAATGAGATAGGAGGTTGGAAAGTTTCTGGGCGAGACAATGAAATTAATCTTCCTACTGTAAAATATGAAGTTGTTAAGAATGATCTAATAAAAATACCAGTTCATGAAAGTAAAGCTATTGATATTAAAGATGAATACGACACTGATAACATTATAGAGATTGTTAAACAGAATAACCCTATTATGATCAGGGGCGAACTACCGGGCACAGGAAAATCATATATATGTCAAAAAATGGTTGATAAAAAATATAAGGTAATATTTATTTGTCCTACTAATAAATTATTACAGGCATTCGAAGGTGAAGCAATGACTATAAATAAGTTTTTTGGAATAAACTACGGCGATGCAAAATTAGAACCATTTGATTTTACAGAATTTGATGTAATCGTATTTGATGAAATTTATTTCAGTAATTTAAATATATATTGGAGAATAAAACAATTTGTAGAGCAGAATAAACACAACAAAATTATAATAGCAACGGGAGACACCAAGCAATTAAAACCAGTTCAAGAGATAACAAATACTCGAGACTATGAATTATATACGGATAATATTATAGATAACATTTTTGAATATAATATTTTGTTAAAAGAATGTAAGAGACTTAACACACAGGAAGATAAGGATAAACTAAGAAATATTAAACTTGATATTTTTGAAAATAAATTACCTGTTATGAAAGTTATTGAAAAATATTTCGAATATACAACTGACATAAGCAATTCTAACAACAACATAGCATTTTTAAATACAACTTGTAAAAATGTCTCAAATGAAATTAGAAAATTAGAAAATAGAAAAGATGAATACGAAGTAGGCGAATTTTTAACATGTAGGGAATATACTAAAACTAAAACATCAGTGTTTAATGTAAATTTCAAATATAAAATAGTTCATATTGGAAGCGATGGAATATTTACATTAAAGAATGTCAAAACCGAAATTTTACAAGCAGTAGAAGTTGCTAAAATAAGAAGCAATTTTATATTTGCATATTGCTCAACTTGTCATTCTGCCCAAGGCAGTAGCATTGATGATACCATAACAATTTTTGATTATAACCATTTTTGGTAAAGAATTATCCAGAATGGATATGGACTGCAATTACAAGGTGTAGAGATTTAAACAAAGTTAAATTTTATAAATATACAAAAGATATTGATGATGTATTTAATCAAAAATGTATTATGAGTTATTTTGAAAGGAAAGTATTAAATTACAAAGAACAGGACAGGAAAGCAAAAAGAACCATATCTAAAGAAGGTCATGTAAATACACAGTGGTTTTTAGACAATATAAATAATCAATGCAATTACTGCGGATGTGGTTTTACTATTGATATGAAAAATGGTAATATAATGACAAATCTGACAGCGCAACGTAAATCAATCGAGTTGTCGCACGAACTGAATAATATTATTCCTTACTGTGTTAGGTGCAATTGTAGTTGTAAATGATAATAATTTAAATAGTAATTTAATATTTCTTGTAAACAGTATTTAAAGAAATAAAAACTATATATATTATAATAGAAATGGTTGAAACCGAAGTCAATAATTATATCAATAAGAAATGCTACGACTGTTGCCACTTCAAAAAAGAAAATATGGAATTATACAAATTGAATTTACCTAATGGAATAGTAAGTAATATTATTGATTATGCTTTGGGTAAAGAAGACGAATGTAGAACTTGTAGAAGATGGAGACGATATCAAAATATAATAGAAAATATGTTGGAGAGTAAAAAAAATAGATGAAAGAAATGTTGAAGATACCATTTTGATATTTTTAACTGTGTATAAAATACCACCTTATAGTTATGTTAGAATATTTCTGAAAATCAGTAAGAAAAATCTGAAATGATTAAAGGTATATTGTGGATGTTGACTTGTCATTTTAGGGAAGGGTTTGATGTAAAAGAAGACATTAAAACATATATTGAAGGAAAAAAGTTTAATGTGAAAAATACCGTGAGAGATATTAATATTATTTTTAAAATGATGCATGAAAGAGATAAGATATATACACAAGTTAATGGTCATCAATTGAATTATTATCCTGAACTTAAGTTATAAAATTCTATCTACCTAACCTTGCCCATAATATTTCTACAAAATTTATGATAAAAATATTGTAAGATAATTTATCATAATTTTTGGAATAATATTTTTGAAAATTTATTTTTTGCGAATTTACTTTTTGAAAAATTACTTTTTTTTGAAAATATTATTTTTTTTGAGAAATATTTTTTTTTGAGAAATATTATTTTTTGAAGATATTTTTTTTGAGAAATATTTTTTTTTGAACAATATTATTTTTGATTTTTTTTATGAATGAGCTTAACCTTGCCCATGCATCCTACCATCAATAACCATATCATATGAACCACCCTATACTCCTATTTCCACTCAAGCATCCTAACAATGACAAGAATGATGGAATAGAAAATGAGAAAATGTGACTTTTTTGATGGATTTTGAGGTTGAGACTGTTATGAAATGTTTTGAGTGGAAATATGCATAATGAATAAGGATGACGATTTGAATAGTGAAAAAATGGTTGAAAAATGCTGTTCTTGCGTAGGGGGGGGGGCTACGCTAGGATACCATAAAAAGATGGGCAAGGCCGACCCTAACTCAAAGTAGGCTGTCCGAGTTTCAAGAGAACTTGAGGAGCAGCCTTCAGGCACGGCGCCTCACGAGACTTGGCTGTTCCATCGTCCCTTTGATCCGACCGATAAAACGCCCCTAGTTTGAGACAGACCCAGACAAAGACAGACACACAATAACGCACGCATTCCAGAATGTTGGTTTTAAACTTGTCGAATGTCTTCAACTTTGTGCGACCGGCGGCCTTTGACTCCTGTTTTGGAATGTGGATTTTGGAGGATAGCAAGTCCTTAGAAGCGAGAACCTGAACCAAGGGTGCCTTGTGTCTCATCGCTGACAAGGAGACTTGTCCAGCTGGACTTTACTCAAATTTTGGGCTGAAGGTGCAACAGATTGAGCGTGCCTCTAGCTTCACTGTTCCTGTTTTGCTGGCGCCATTGTTCTTCTAATCCCTAGGGCCCCATGGGCCCCCACAGATCATCAGATCCCTTCTAGGTCCCCCAGGATCGTGCCCTTTTACGGTTCTTTTCTGGGGGAGGATTTCCCCTACTTAAATTTGACTGCAGAAAAAATCGGGTACCCTTATTCTAACCTCTCTACTGGAGGAGCTAGCCTTTAAGGAAATGGGAAGAAGGCTTTGAGAACATTGCTCCTCTCGGACTGCTCTCGTTTGTCGCCGAGGTGGAACCCCGTCAGGGTGAGCGCAACTGAGGGGACCTGGACACTGCTCAGCTATGAGGCGAGACCGCGAAGCCGGACCCATCCAGCAACGTGTCCATCCCCTCAGAAGTCTGTTTGGTGGCTTTGTTCAATCCTCAACCCCTAGAAGGATGCTCTGTTCAATCTTCAACCCCCTACGAGGGTGCGTTGTTCAAGCTTCAGCCTCTTAGAAGGAATCTTTGCTCAATCGGCAACCTCTTCAAAGGTTGCTTTGTTCAATCTTCAACCCGTTGCGTTGTTCCTTTGCTGGATGTTCAATTCTTGACTCTTGATTCTTGATTCACAGCCCGCTCGCCTACCTCAAGAGAGGTTAAGTGAGGGGGCGCAGTGGGTTGCGCGATGCCCCTAGCGGATGCTAGCAGGTCGTTGCAGCGCACTTAACGTCAGTTTCCCTCAGTCACACTGCAGCGCCGTGCAGACCCGTCGCATCACGAGTCCGACATACCTAATTCTCGCAGTATCCACCTCAAGACCGCCTGAGGAGTGGAAGAGACAAAACAAGAAGGATTTCAAATTCATCCTGCGTGACACGTGATTGCTAAGGCCAGACCGGAGAAAAACTTGAGTAGTGCCAGAGCTCACATAAACATCCGGCGCGCCGCACAGAGGGCAGGCCACCGAGGTTTCAGAACAGTGAAGGTGTGATCGCTGCCAGAGCGGCCAGAGCCCTGTGAGTCGAATGAACGCCCATTCTCTATGCCCAAAGAAGACTTTGAGCGAGCCCCAGCGTGTCGGGAACAGAGTAGGACAAAATTCGGAGTATGTCGAGCTCAAGCCAGAGAACGCCTTCCCTGCACTCTGAGTAAATTCCGCTTCGTCGCGACGCTGGAGGATGGGTAGCACCACCTGACATTTGTAGCTCCGAAGGAGATTCTTCCTAAGGAAAATGTCCCCCCTCGCCTGGTCCAACGAAGAAGCTCTTTCTAGCTGTGAGGCCTCCAAGGTGGGAATGCAAAAGATTCTGCATTAGTTCCGTGACGCTGTGCCACCAAGTGCCATGCGAGCAGGTTCTTTCATCCAATGTTCACACCCACCAGCAGAGTGCCGCGTCAGTCTTCAACCCCCCAGAAGGATACCTGGTTTCATCTTCAACCACTGAAAGCGTGCTTGGTTCAATCTTCAACCTCTTGCAAGGTCTTGTGTTTAATGTTCGACCCCTTAAACAACCTCTTAGAAGGATTTGAAGCTAGAAGGTGGCTTTTTTTTCAATCTTTAGCCCTTTAGAAGGGTATGTTGCTCAATCTTTCACCCCGCAAACACCTACAGCCCATCACTTGTGTTGTGAAATTGGTGAGAGTTGAAGAAATAATCATTCCGAGGGGTTGAAGTAAAAACAAAACAGCCTTCCAAGCGATTGAAGATTGAACCCATCACCCTTTTAGGGAGTTGACGATAGCACAAACCCCCCTTTCAGGAAATCAAGATTGAACAACGAACCTTTTAAGGGTTAACAATGATAAGATGGAGCGAAGCACCCTTCCATTCTAGGCTGGTTTGCTCTTGGGATGCCAACGTGGTCCCAAAACTGGCCCAGCCGCCTCATTTTTTGGCTGTCACACGCATTGCTTTTTGTTGTAAACACCCCATGAACGCAATACCGTTTCCATTAAATTCCTTCAACAAAAAGAGTGCCGATTTGTTTTGTCCCGTGGAAGGGGGCTGGGCGTCAAGGATCCCAAAGGGTCCCGATTTCTTCCCTGATCCAGGTGTAAGAAGGTTTAGCATCATCTACTTCCTGAGTTCCTGGACTTTATACTTTTTCGGAAGACCAGTTCGGCATAATTACAAGTTGGATCCACTCGATTGGAAGTGAATTATTTCTTGGTGGCTCCCAGCCCCTTAGCTTTTTAGCCTTTTCGTGTTTAGTGGTAATTTCCATTCAACCCACTAAAAGTTAAATTTTTAGCGGGGGATCTGAGGGCAGCCCAGGTTTATAAGTGGTTTGATTTTGACCCATGTTTAACCCATAGCCTCATTCACCCATGTTTTGATAGCTCTAAACCCATGTCAGATGTGAACCAGAAGGGGGGCCAACAGCAGCGCAGCCGAGGGCGACTCCTTGCTGGACGTGGGGCGCGTCGCCTCCCCGCGCTTGGCTGTGCCCTTCGCACGCTTCGAGGCGGGCTCGTGATCCGGGGCTCAGATACACGAAGCCGAAGCAAAAAAGAACAGACATGCGTGATAAGTGATAGAGGGTGGGTGCATGTTCGCGCGTTTTCACAGGGTTGAAGGGCTTCAACGTAGTATTACCCCTGGCATACAATGGGTTCCTTGGACGAACACTGTTCAAACAAACAAACACGCATACCCACGCCTGCACGCCCGCCCCCGCCAGCACGCCCGCGCCACACACTCACCGACTCACCCGCGCCTGCCCGCCCGCCTGCGCGCCACCCACACCCGCAGCCCCCGCCCGCCCCGACCCACCCACCCCCACCCACCCAAGCTCCCCTTGTAATGCCGCAAGCAGCGCATTTTTAGGCAGGTTTTGCTCTGATTCGTTTGTTGTTTTGGGCATTTGGAGATTCTTCGGGCTCAAGCACCTTCAAATGCAGCTAGCGCATGTCATTAATGCCTTTTCGAGGCGGCTTGTTAGCTGGCAAAACCTCTCTGGGGGGTGTAAAACGCAGAAACAAATTAGTAGCGCGACGAACTAGGCGCGCACAAAATTTGTGTTTTGGGTTTAGGCACTTGGAGACCCTTGGTAGGGCCACAAACACCCTAAAATGGACTTACTTGGCGGCTCGTTATAGCTGCGGAAAAAACCAGCAACAAATAAGTGCGTGCCGCTCTTCTGGCTTTTTGTTGGTCAGTTCCCGCAGAACACCGATCTTCGCCTCGTCGCACGATCTGGCTTTTGCGGCTCAAGCCCCTTGCCATCAAGTTTCAAATGTTCCTTCATCATTGATGTTGTTGTCTTTGTGAAGTTCATTCCTGAGCGCTTGGGATCTAGGCGTACTACACCACGGCTCAGCAGGGCTACGCGACGAGCTACATGGCCCCGGGGCACGCAGCTGGCTACGCGACGAGCTACATGGCCCCGGCCCACGCAGCTCAACAGGGCTACGCGACAGGCTACATGGCGCCACATGGCGGTGAACCACATGGCGGTGACGCTGGCCTCCACGCGGCCGAGCAGCGGAAAACCAGCCACCGTGGTTTTTTTCTTTTTTCTTTTTTTTTGGGGGGGGGGGGGGGGGTTTGTCGGTGTCGTTTTGTTTGGTTTGGGGGGGGGGGGGGTTGTCGGTGTCGTTTTTGTTTTTGTTTTTGTTTGGGGGGGGTTGTCGGTGTCCTTTTTTTTTTGGCTGTCGGATGCACGTGTCGACACCGTTTCCTTGGGAACATGCGCATCAGAGGAGGGCCTCTTCTCTCAGGTCACCAGCCATCTCAGACACGCGTGCCACGACACTCCGGCTCGCATGAATTTGAGACGACACTCGGATTATCATGACCACGCTACCGGGCATTGAATGCTACCACAGCCTTCGTACGATACGATTAAAGGACCACGCTGGGCTAATCCACCCCAGCTCTCGAGCTGGAGCTCTTCCGATGAAAAAGTAGGCGGTCGCTACGACAGCCAATGCATAACCACACACCTCATCACACGGAAGGGCGGAATAGTCATCCATTGACCAATGCCCTTTCGGCTCAAACCATCGGGGCCGTTGACTCCCGACACTTAGGTGGAAGGAGTCTCCCTGATTGGTACTGAGTCGGCAAGGGAACACGGGTAACCGTCTGGTCGTCGGTTACTCGTCACTGAAGCCACAACACGAGGTTCTCCTATAGGTTGACCCTACGGTGATCATCCCGGTCTTTGTAGGAGGAACCCAAAGTCGCGTACCCCCAGAACTGGGGAAGCGAGGAAAGGGCAAAGGGACAATGCCCCAACACCTAAAATACCTGAGGGGGCGGGTCACCGCCCGGGTACGACAGCCACAGGCTGCTCAAAGCGCGGGAGCCAATGCGCAAGAGCTGCGACATATCCGGCGAGCATTAGCGCGGAACCGGAAGACTTGGAAGAGAGCTAAGCGGCTTCGAACGGCTCGGGTACAACAAGCCCATGCTTGTTGACTATACTGCAGCTATGACAGCTCACGTGGTCCTCGCACTCGCCCTCCTGTTGCAATGGCCCAACCAGGGGAACGCCGAGGAGTACTCCGCGGGCAGCTCAAGAAAGTGGAGGAACGCTTGGACAACGTGGAGTGGCGACTGGGACGCGTGGAGCTTGCCCAGGAGCAGACGGACCAGTACAGACGCTTGCGGGTAGAACACTCACCGCGCCTGCAAGAGGTGTGGAGGGCCTTCGAGGCCAAAGAGTTTGAGCCGCATGAGCTGCGTGCAAAGGTTGCAGTGGCAGTGGGCGCAGATGTCCGCGAGTGCATGGGTCGTGAAGTGGACGAGGAAGCCTTGCAAGCCAAGAGCCGTGAACTCAGCCATGGGAGACAGGCGGTGCCAGTTCGGGACGTTCGGGTGGCCACGAGCGTGGCCTTCGATTTGGCTCCCCTGCTCGAGTGGGTGTATAAGGACCGGACAGGCGCCTTCGGCCTCATCCTCGCACGCGGGGAGCCCAGCAGAGTGTTCACGACGCAGGTCAAAGATACCTTTAACTGGGCGCTCTTTGTTTTGGCAAAGCTCGAGGGGCAGGGTATACAAGTATACGGAGACCGTGGACCCCAAACACGGGCAAAAGGGCGCGGCAAGGGGAAGGAAGCAGGAAAGGGCAAAGAAGCAGGAAAAGGCAAAGGAAAAGGTAAGAAGGGAAAGAAAGGAAAAGGACGCGGCCAAAGACGTGATGCGGAGGAGTGAGGCGGGCTTTTTCCGAGCCGATTTATTTCGGGGGGCCCAGGGATCATGGTTGCCCCAGGTAAGACCCACTTCAGAGGTACGTCCTCGGGTCTAGGTCGGAGCCCACTTTGGGGTACGTCCCCGGGCTCCTAGGTCGGGCAACCTAAATCCTTTGGGCCTCGCCGGTTCCCCTGTAAGGCGCAAGGGCTACTAATTACCCCGGTTCCTTTGGGGTGGCTCCCCCCCTAATCAGAATGGATATTAAATTCGGGGCATTTCCTCTAATACCACATGAACACTATTGGGATCTGCCATATTTTTTTTTTGGATGGGGTGTCCCCTCCCCACCTAGGAAACCCAGTTCATGTCCGGGTAACTTTCCGGGATCGATCCGACGCGCCGTGCTCATGCGGTCTACTTGCAACTCGGATAGGAACCATGCGAGCCACCTTCGTCGCGCTACATCATCACATCATCACCACATGGCGGTGGGCCACATGGGGTGCCAGGTGAACACGGCGCAGCAGGCTTCTAGCCCGTGGGTCGTGGACGAAGGTGGTGTGGTGCGAAGCGGCCCGAGCATCATGAACTCACCGGCGGACGCTTGATCATCGAAACGCGGGTCCTTCTGATGTTTGCTTTCAGATGTTTCCAGATGTTTGTTTTCAGATGTTGTTTTCCGGTGTCCAGTGTTTTCAGATTTTCAGATGTTTGTGTTCAGATGTTTTCAGTGTTTGTTTTCGGATGTTTCCAGACGATTGTTTCCAGATGCATGTTTTCAGATGCCTAGATGATTGTTTTCAAGTGTTTGCGGATGTTCGCTAAATTCACTGGTGTTTGCATTCTGAAGTCACGGGGACCAGGCGATGTCTGCAGCGCCACCATCGGCCACCTGGCCCACGCCAGCGCCTGTGCCTGCATCAGTCATCATGCATTAACGTGCGTAGCTGATGGCCGCAGATTTTCAGATGTTTGTGTTCAGATGTTTTCAGTGTTTGTTTTCGGATGTTTCCAGACGATTGTTTCCAGATGCTTGTTTTCAGATGCCTAGATGATTGTTTTCAAGTGTTTGCGGATGTTCGTTAAATTCACTGATGTTTGCATTCTGAAGTCACGGGGGACCAGGCGATGTTTGCAGCGCCACCATCGGCCACCCGCTCCTGGCCCACGCCACGCCTGTTCCTGCATCAATCATCATGCATTAACATGTGTAGCTGATGGCCGGTCGGGGATGGTTGACCTAGCTTCCAGTTTCCCTCGATCTCACTCACTCACTCACTCACTTACTCACTCACTCACTCACTCACTCACTCACTCACTCACTCACTTACTCACTCACTCACTCACTCACTCACTCACTCAACTCACTCCACTCACTCACTCACTCACTCACTCACTCACTCACTCACTCACTCACTCACTCACTCACTCACTCACTCACTCACTCACTCACTCACTCACTCACTCACTCACTCACTCACTCACTCACTCACTCACTCACTCACTCCACTCACTCCACTCACTCCACTCACTCCACTCACTCCACTCACTCCACTCACTCCACTCACTCCACTCACTCCACTCACTCCACTCACTCTCACTCACTCCACTCACTCCACTCACTCCACTCACTCCACTCACTCCACTCACTCCACTCACTCCACTCACTCCACTCACTCTCACTCACTCTCACTCACTCCACTCACTCCACTCACTCCACTCACTCCACTCACTCCACTCACTCCACTCACTCCACTCACTCACTCACTCACTCACTCCACTCACTCCACTCACTCCACTCACTCCACTCACTCCACTCACTCCACTCACTCCACTCACTCCACTCACTCCACTCGCTCCACTCGCTCCACTCGCTCCACTCTCACTCACTCCACTCCACTCCACTGCACTCCACTCCACTCCACTCCACTCCACTCCACTCCACTCCACTCCACTCCACTCCACTCCACTCCACTCACTCCACTCACTCACTCACTCACTCACTCACTCACTCACTCACTCCACTCACTCCACTCACTCACTCACTCACTCACTCACTCACTCACTCACTCACTCACTCACTCACTCACTCACTCACTCACTCACTCACTCACTCACTCACTCACTCACTCACTCACTCACTCACTCACTCACTCACTCACTCACTCACTCACTCACTCACTCACTCACTCACTCACTCACTCACTCACTCACTCACTCACTCACTCACTCACTCACTCACTCACTCACTCACTCACTCACTCACTCACTCACTCACTCACTCACTCACTCACTCACTCACTCACTCACTCACTCACTCACTCACTCACTCACTCACTCACTCGCGCACTCACACACGCATAACACTTAGTCCCTCATGACCCCCTCACTCACCTCCCTCCTTCAATCATGAGCGGATCCCGGACTCGCCTCACCTCACCTCTCCTTGCCTCAGCTCGTCGGCGTCGGCGTCTTCTGAGTCCGGCCATTCCGGCCCCAAGAAAAGCGAAGGCGCGACCGCGCAGAAAGCGGCCTTCGAGGACTGGCAGCTGTTTGACGTGCAGCCATTCCAGGCGGAGTGGAACGAGTTTGCGCGAGCGGCTGCGAAGAAACGGGCGACGGAGGAGGAGGCTGACTGCAAAGCTTCCGAGAAGATCCTGGACACCTTAAGCAGGCTGCGGCGGAAGTCGTTGCCAGGGAAAATCCTGTCCCACGTGGAGGACGTTGAGGAAGTGCTCTCGAAGGTGGCGGCCCATTGGGAAACTGCGCAGTGAGGCTGTAACATGTCAGGCGCGGGGTAAGACTTATCCACCTGTAGACACTGCCCCGGGGCGGCACGGGCGCGGAGGAGGCGGCCTGCATGTTCAGCCAAACCACTGCCGGCGCCGCGGGAGCAGGCGCGCATTCGCCGCCCTGGCTGCGCCTCACAGAAGAGTGACACCGCAGTGGCAGGAGTTCTTTGCCGCCGTGACCGACGACCTCGAGACGGCGGCGCCAGCCGAGCTCGTCGACGCCGCAGCTGGAAGACGCGGAGACGCTGCTCGACGAGGCCAGGAAGCAGAGCGTGACGTGAAGAGGCCGCCCGTGGAGGACCACGCGGCAGAGGGCGAGGAGACGCCAGCGAGCAAGTTCGAGGACACGCCACGCAGCAAACGAGATGTGCGACAGCAAGGGCAAGGCGTTCAAGAAGTCGAAGGCGGCGCCGGTCCAGTGCTACACGATTCCTGGTTCGCATGAGGCAAGAAGAGCAGGCAGGAAGGCTGTTCGCAGCCCGCAAAGAAGAGCAAGTTCAAACCGCCTAACAGTCAAGAGTGCTTGCTGAGAGTGCTCTGATTTCAGCCACGTCCGCTCTGAATATGGCACCTGGTGGTCGGATACCCATGCGAATGCGTGCTTAAAGGGTTGCAAAACACACAGACTCAACAGCAAACCGGAGAGGGGAAAAGTGGCAGGCACCATGTAGAGGCGACTTTACGGGTACTGACGGAAGCTTGTTGTTCAGAGGTAAGACATTGGCGCCGGACGGCTTGACTCTTGAGGCAGTGAGAGCCAACATGAACAAAGAGTCTGCAGCCGACTCTGGAGATTGCGCCACCTGGCAGCGCGAGGATCTAGATTCTTGACAGAGCAGGGCACGATGCTGGAATATCAAGATACGTGTCAAAAGAAACCTTGACGCTTTTTTTTAGATCAGGCGCCTTGACGCTTCAATAGGCCCGGTTTGTTGGGCCTGGAGCAACCCATGACAGCCTGGATTGCCTGAGAAGGCCGAAGCAAGCACGATGACGCGCCCCTTCTCGTTTTATGTTAATTTCAACTTGATGTGTTGGGTTTTTGAGCGGGGTCGCATATCCTGTTCAAAGACGCCCTTTCCGGTCGCGCGACTTCAACAATTGGCCGTGGCATTTCCAAACGCCGGCAACCAGTCTGTTGGACGACCCCCTTCATTGCTTTTCTGTCCTTTAACTTGTGCAAGTGTTGTATAACCTCTGCTCATTGCAACTAACTTCCGTTCGTTGGTAACTAACCTTCTGACATTTCCATTTTGTGTGGCTAGCTGAATGCTTTTGACAGAAGAGCGCAGGCTTACAGGCGAAGCAAACGCACAGGCAAAGGTATCTTGTCATGCGTATAGTTCTGTGTAAGCACATAGACCTACACTCCTTAGGCCTTGATATGTATGCATTGCAAGGGGTATAGTGAGTGCGAGAGGACAGCAATAATTAGTCTTCAGCCGCTCTGGCAAAAAAAGCAAGGCGCAAGTGAAACTCAAAATGTTAATAGCGATAGCCGCGTCAGCTCAGTGGAGGTGGCGCGCAATGCCTCTCCCCGCCCCTTTCGCAATGTCGAGGGACTTGGTTCGCGACTAAAGGTGGTGCTGGGAAAGGAACACCCTGCCAAGTGGTGCGCGCCGGGCTGTGAACCACGGAGCTTGGACTTGAGCGTGGCAAAGCCGAAGGAAAATTGATCAGAGACGCAGCCACGATGGAGATGCTCGGAGGCCTGCTTCGCGCAGGCTGCTCATGCCGATGCCGGACTGATATGAGATGCTGACTTACAAGCCGAGCTTTAGTACAACCGCTTCGCGTCGCCCGCCTCGGCCAGTATGGGTTTGGCTGGCTTTGAGATACATGTTTTGGTTTGCCTTGAAATGTGGGTGGCGTTTGTTTGAGTGAGTGAGTCGGCGCCGACATGCGTGATAGAGGGTGGGTGCATGTTCGCACGTTTTCACAGGGTTGAAGGGCTTCAACGTAGTATTACCCCTGGCATACAACGGGTTCCTTGGACGAACACAGTTTCTGGGCAATCTTGCAGACTTGCGTACTGCACGCATCACCTCCGTCACTCCGGAACTTTTTACTCACGCTCACACCCAGCCACCAACCCACCAACCCACACCTACACCACCCACCCACACCCACCCACTCACACCCACCCACCCCCATCCCCAGTTTTAACAAACATGTACGTAACCGAATGGGTACACACATGTTGGTCATATCCTGCTTTACCATTTGTCAATGTATTACTGTATGTATATGAGTTGACTTATGAATGTACACGTATGCATACCTTGGTTTGATTTCGCGTGTTTTTATCAGCATTTTCTTTGCTTAGAGAATGTATGTGTTGTATACACGCACCGTATATGTACACAGACATGTTTACGTATTTCCGCATTTATGTATTTATTTTACATCTTTGTTCATGTATGTATGTTTTAATGCGTTTTATTTGCACTTCTTCGTGTTTGTGTTTTCTTGGATTTAACTGGTATGTGTTTATATTTCTATCCACTGATTCATTTATTTATTGATTTTGTGCAGTTATTTTTACATACGCACGTTCTGAACCACTGTGAGCAAGGTTCCCCAGATTTGAAATTGGTGGTCACCCATTAAAGGCAGCGAGCCTGAGCACGGCTTGTAAAACGAGGTGGCTCAGGCGCGGCGGCTGCACATCTGGCTGAAACACCCATGTTGAGCAGAAACGTGTGGTCTGATGTTTTGAACATCATTGGTTTGAACATGTGCGGACAGGCACTTCGCCCTGAATCCAGGGCTCAAACCATTTTGTCTTTAAAAAGGCACCTCGTCAGTTGGGGAACCCTGTCTGGTGTACGATTATCAGGAAACCACAAGTCTTGCAAACACGGTCCTCGCTGTCAGGCTCAGGTCTAACCGGAGTCTAACCGATGCGCCGTACAGGTCCCGACTGCATCTGAGGTCCGGAAACATGTGGTCTTCAACAGCCCTTCACAGGTCCAGGTTCTTTACTGGAGGGTTTGGCAGTCTGTATGGGAGTGATTCTGATCCTTCGGGCGGTTTTTGTTTGAAACACAGTTATGTTGGTGTTGGTTTGTTTTCTCGCCGCCCATGCAACGCCAAGGTGATACCAAGGAAAATGTTCGACATGACAAAGCAGTGCTAGTGATGAGACCCTCCTTCCTTTGGCACCTTATTGTGGGAAACCTAGATGCCGGCGTGTCCTTTTGGGAGGGTAATGTCTACCTCTGATTAATAAACACCCCCGCCCTCCCCCCCCCTCCCTCAAACAACTTCCCTCCCCAAATAGTTCTTGCAACTTGATTACGAATTGCCAAGTATTGCTCACAGATTTGTTGTGGTTCAATTGATTTAGTATTGCTGGAGCTTCCTTTTGAGATTGGATTCGGGTTTCCAATTGGTTTAGTATTGGTGATTTTTTGTTTTCAATTGATTTCGTATTGCTGGGGCCTCCTTTTGAGATTTGACTAGCCTCCTTTTGACATTTGACTTGTTGGGCTTCCAATTGATTTAGTATTGCTGGTGATACTTTTTTTGGGAGGGAAGCTTTATTTAGGGGAGCCACTTAAATAATGTGTTTTTCCACCCCCAAGTACTGCCCCCCTTGTGGGGTTGATTGGGGGCCACTTTTTAAGCAAGAGTATGTAAAGAATTTGCACTGTGGGAGCTGGGATTTTGTTGGGATTGCAAATGCTAGATGATTGAAATCATAGGGAGCAAGTTTGAAGGGACATATTTTCAAGATTGAGCCTTTTACTAAGAAAGCCTGTTCAATCACGAGTTGAGTTTTTTTTGGAGGGGGCACCAGGAATCTTTATTTAGGGGGGGCCTCGAAGTAAAGTTTTTATCAACCCCCCAAGTACTACCCCCCTTGTAGGATTGATTCGGGGCCACTTTTCAAACAAGAGTATGTAAAGAATTTGCAGTTTGGGAGCTAGCATTTTTTGTAGATCTAAAATTTTCAGGCAAGCGAGGCAGATACTGACTGATTCAATTAGACAGCTAGTGGAAGAGGTTGAGATGATGCTAGTGGGTGTGTGTGTGTTGTTTGGTGTGTTTTTGCGAGTGTGTGTGGATTCCCCGCCAAAAGAACATAACTTTATTTCGGGGGGGGTGGTATTAATCTGTGCCGGCCCACAACATAACTTTAATCGGGGGAGGTGTTTAAATCATATGTCGACATTACCTTCCCGGAGTTGCTTCAATATGTTGGATATGAGTGTGTTTTGTGTTTCGTGGGTGCCCATTCTGGAGGTGGTTTCAAAGGCGAGCTTGACATACGTACATGGGTGAGTTTTGTAGAGGGTAACATAAAGGGCTAAATGATTACCATTAGTATACTCCTACCATTGTGACTACATCGAGTTTTTTAATAGACCCCAACCCCCGATTCTATTTGTTTAGCTCCTTGTATCGGCCTTTTCTGGACGGAGTTGATTGGGAAGAACACCACAAAAGAAACCAAACTAAAACGAGTGCCTTGCCGCTGGACAGGTGGAGTTGGCGGTGTCTAGCGCCCGGCGCAAAGTTGCGAGTGGGAGGTTTACTGGGGTCTCCTACCAACATCATAGTTGGTTTCTGAGTTCCCCAGATGTGGTTAAAGTTTATGTTTGGGTAAAGGGAGCATGTTTTGTTTGTCCATTTTGACATGTTGAAGGGTTGTCGTATTCCAGGGATTTTGTGTTTTTAGACATTCCGCAGAAACAACTCTTTAGGGTTTATCGTTTGTGAAGAGGGAGACACATGTGCAGGGCAGACATCCGAAACAAAAGGGCCGTTTGCGCAATTCGACTGGTGGGTGTCATTGCTACAGATCCAACACATAGTCTCAATAAGACCTTCTCTTGCAACGCAAGACGGAAGCTCGGATCCTTAGATGTTGAAGTGATGTCTGGGGTCTCTGCCGAATTACTTGGGATAAGCGCATTTGCACCTGCTCCCCTTGCCCCCGAAGGTTCGTTTGTCACGTTCACCCTTGGAACAGAAGTCATTTTAGTGACCTGCCGATGTTGGGCGATGTCGGTGCGGCTTGAGGCTCAGAGTCCCTGATGGCCCGTGGTAGTGGTTTTTATGGACATCCACTTGGGGTTGGGGGGGGTTCCAATTGGTTCAGCCAGTGGACACTTCCACCGCTGGGTTTTTTCTTCTGGGAAGTCTCGCGCAGCTTATGGGAAGGCCAGAGCGGTTTGCCAAAAGGAGCCCAAATTGGCATCACTCGAAAGCTTCCATGGGATGAGTGGTTTGCCAAAAGGAGCCGAAAATTGGCGGGCGTTCCGGCGCCCAACTTGGGCCACGCCTACGGCCGTCGGTCGATACCAACCGTTTCGAAGCCGTCGGGGGGATCCAGCAAGGATTTCGGCCGATGTTTTCCAAGGGCTGGGCTGTTCAAAGGTAATCCTCAAGCCTTGGGTTACGCCTATAGGGTTTCCTTCGTAGTGGCTTCCCTAGGATTATGGATTGGCCAACCCTCCATTTTGAACAGCCCAGAAGGTGTTTGGAGGGAATGGAGCTGTGGCTAGGAAGTTGCTCAAAAGCGAAGTTCCTTAGCGCAGAGATCAGTCGGCTGGAAGTTCCGTTGCTTGCGGAAGTTCGAGGCCGCACGCCTCCCTGTGACCGTCCACTTAGAGCTTCCAGAGGACACTCCGCCGTCGATTCGCTCAAATCCCCGAAGGGCACTGAGGGTACTGGTGGGTCTCCGCCCATGTTCCTTTCCATGTGTGAAGGGTTGCTCACTAAATGTCCAACACAACCAAGTCACTCATTCAATATGCCCTCTTGAGGAAGCAGGCATAATCTTGACTGTGGCTCATGGGGGGCGTGCACACGCTTCCAGAAAATTACCTTTGCACGGTGCTCTCCAAGTCGCTTGCATGGGATGGGCTTTAGGCCGCCACATCCACGGTGTTGCTTTGAGGTTTTTGCTTGAAGCCCTGACACGGCCAACCTCAAACACGGCGCATCCAAACTTGTTCAACTTGTTGGGGGAGTTGTTTTTGTTTAACATCAGGCTGAAAAAGAGAACCCCCATTCGTCCTGGCCACTGGTGGTTGGGGAGCAGTATTGCCTTATCTGAGGCAAGAGTAAAACTTATGGTTTGGTCTCGTCATAGGCCCAAACAACACTTTAGGATTTCGAAGGTGCCGGTACTTAGCTTACCTTCCCTCTTAACAAGTTACCTTGTTGCACGGGTTCCTCAAGAGTCAAAAGGTTACCAAAGTCTTGCCACCCTTCAAAATCAATAGAGCAATTGCTGGTCACCTGCTATATGGCCATGGGTCATAACTATGGCGAGCCATTTTGGGGCGGATGAACACCCATGTCCCACCTATTTTGATGTTCACCAGGGGTTTCCTGGGGTTTTGACCCACAGCCATATAGAGGTTAGACTTTGTTTGGCCCACAGCTTTTGAGAAAGCCGGTTGCTGTCAGGGCCTTCACGCGACCAACTCGCTCACGGCCTGGGCGCCAAGGTTTTGGCAGTCGGCGCAAGCCGAGTCCGCAAGCCTCGCGCGAGGTCTTCAGAGGTTGTAGATTGACATGGCGCCACGAAAGCGAGTAGATTTGAGTAGACGAATGAAGCTTTCTGGATGGAGATTTGGGTCCAAGAGAAACTGGACAGGGAGCAAACAAAAAAGAAGGGGTGGGTGCCAAAGGGCACTTTGGCACTCAGGCTCCTTTGTTTCAAGGTTGATTTCATCCCAGTTCGTTGTGCTCCTCAGAGAGCAAACCAGGTTTGGGCTCGGAGTAACATGGATCCTGAGGGTCTTTGGCTCCCATAGCTTCCTGTAGGATTTTTTCTGATGGCGTTTTTCCCCCGCTGGCCAAAGCCTTGAAGCCTCGCCCCTCTGCGTGTTCAGCGCGAGTTACTTGCAGGCTGGCAGCTTTGGTCAACCCTGAACAGTTTTAGGCAACCTTTCCATGGTTGTTGTTGGGAACGTTTTACATTTTTGCTTATTGTGGTTTAGTGGGAAATCCACACTTAACTGCTAAAAAACTCCCCTTCCAACGTCAACCAAGTTTCTGGGTTCTCCTAAGAGAACCATGGTCATGACCTGCATGAGGACTCTGCCGGCACAAGTGAAATTTAGGATGCAAGTTCACGTATTTCTCGGCAGCACATACTGACTGTACGTCTAAGACGCAGGTTCACCCGGGTCTTTCCATGTTTCGAGGGAGGTGATCTTGCTTTTGCTCGGGTTTCCTATGTGAGAAGCCCAGGAGACCATTACCAGCCATCTTTCAAGTAACAGATTGAGACCCGACGAGATTATGGCACAATGCCTGCCTAGTTGTCCACCGAATGAGATCGAACGAGGGAAAGCCATGTATCTACTTTGGGTTCCCAATCCATTTGGTGTTTCGGGGTTCGAGTTGTAGAATTAGACAGTTCTTTGGGTTACATGGCAAAATCTATACTGGTAAACATGACAGGTGGATCCTGATTTTGGGGGTAGACTCCCTGCGCCAGATTCAGACTCCTGCGTTGTTTCAGACCTTCAGCACCCTTCCCTTTACTTCGAGGGGAGTTCTCTTTGCCACAAACAGGGGGCCCCCTGTATTTTGCCCTTGCTGTTTGAACATCCCCTTTTGGTGCCATTTCAAGGAGTCTGTGCACTTAGGATGTGAAGTAAGGGGCAGAATGGGGGGGGGGGCCTGAAACACCCGGTGCCTTTTGGGCAAGTTCTTGGTTTCCGGGGGTGAAAGCGGGCTGTTCATGCCCAGACCTCCAGTGGTGCCCTTTTGCCTTTTTCGGTTTTTGCCTGGGGGTCCCTTTTAAAATAGACTACCAAAACAGGCTACCAAGAACAGAATGCTTTTTTTTCCCGTGGCCAGTGGGGGTTAGGGAATCTGCCCCTGAGTCCAGGTTCCCAAAATGCGAGCCTTGTTTTTGCCAGACCCTGGCCTTAGATGTTTGCCTTGGTTCTCATCAAATTTCCTGGCGCAGAAATGCAAACGGCATGTCTTGCAGGGGGTCGTTCGTTCCATGTGACCATGTGGCTCGCTCTTGCGGAATTGAGGTCCTTGGCCCCCGCAGCTTCCAATTCCAGGCGAGGAGGTGATCTGAAGGGGTCCCTATCCTCAACACCGCGCGTTCCACCGAAAACAAGCAACAGGGGAGGGGGGAGCCGTTTAAAATTTCGGCTACCAAGAAAAGGGTGCCAAATCGCTTTCTCACGGAAATTCGCTGGAGGTCTGGGATACTTGACCGTACTAATGGCATTCATCACCCTAAGCCAAAGCAGATTGCCATTTGGATGTCGCTCCAAGTCAACATGTCGCTCCGCACGTGGATGTCCTAAGAGGTGATTTCCCCTTGGTGAAGCTTTGGAGCGCTGTGATTGTAACCAGCGCCGTGTATACGCAGTTTTCAGTGTGTTTTGGAGAGCGGCCCAAGCCATGTGGGTGTATTTGAAAGTACTTGGTTTGTTTCCTTGGCATGGATGGAGTAGAAATTTATAGACTAGGGTTGTATAGTACGAGTGCTTTTTTTTTCCCCCCCAGGGGAGGTTTGAAGGGGAGTCAAAAGGACAACCACCATTTTGGGGGTCCCCTATTTTGACACATGCCTATTTACCACGTATACTTCCAGTTCTAGTGGTAGTAGATTACCAGCGGAAGAAAATAATGTAAACCTGAATTCACGTCGACAGATACCTGGAAGCACTGGGGTAGTTTCCAAGGGAACTCAACCCTCGCGGGCAAAACCACTAGCATCACACTTGTTCACTTGGAGACCCATATGGTGGATTGAATGCGGGGCACGTTGGAACTGATTCAAAGGTGCGCAGGATGGGCCTGGAACGGGTGCTTGTATTGGCGTGCGATTCCTTGCAACCCGTTTATTATACGACGCTTCTTGAGTCCGTTTCAGGCCGAACCAAGTCTTGCCGTTGGGTCTTCCCTTCCGGGTTTGCACAACACACCGCGTGGGCCCCCCCAACAAGCAATGTATGAAATGGTGGGGCGCCCAGGCGCCAACGAGAAGATTTTGAAGCGCAAGCCATGAGTTGATGTAGCACGTGTCAAGTTGAAGTAGCCCCGATGTGGTCCAACCTTCCGTAAAAAAGGCAGGGAGAGGTGAAGAGGGTGTTGCTGGACAAACGGAGAGGCAAGTTAGACCTCTTCAACCACCGGGTTCTAATCTGGTGTGTGCATTTGTAAGCCTCTTTTGGTGCAATTTCCCTTTCTGTGATCAACAATTCTAACCCCGACTTCCCAGAGCCCGTGGCAAGCATGCCAAACAGAGTCAGCTTGAATTTGCCCAAAAACAAATTATGGGTGTGGCTCAAAATTAAACAGCAGGGGTTACGCAGGTGTTGGTCCATGTTTCCACTTACCTGGGTTCCATTTTGGTACCGGTTTTTGAGCCACAGCCATATTATTTGAGAATGTCTGGTGGAATTTCCTGCAAAGGAACTACGAGGGATGGATCTTGCGTTTGCCCGATGGTGCTTTTTTTTGTTTTTCTCTTTGCGCCATACATTGTGCTGCTATGAATTGTGATGGTGAATGTGAAACTCATAAAGCATATGCAGCCGAGCTATCCTTATGACATCTGACATTGGAACTGGTTTCGCGGACAGTTAGTTCATGCTTCATTTGGGGTGTCCTCCAACACTATGTATATTTCGAGGTGGATGTAGTATATGAAACAGAGTCAGGACGTGTTATTGTTGGAGTACCCCGGATGTGGGCCAAGTTCATGTTGAATCTGACCTTTCCTCCTGCAAGTTTGAACTTTCGAACTTCTTCGGACTTGTCCAAGCAACAAATCACCGGCTGGTCTTGGCCTTTGCAACGGAGGTTTGGGGCTATTTGTTTCACCACAAGACAAGTTGGATCGCATAGGCGGGGCAAGCGAGTTGGTTCCATGCCGGTGAAGCTCGCATTGGGCCTGGGAGAAAAAAAGACGAAAGGTCAGCTCTCCTTTGATCGGTGGAGCCCAATGGTTTGGAGGTTGGGGGGGTTTCCCATTGATCAGGAGCCCAGGGGCTCCAATCCTCAAAGCATCCAAACCACCAAGAGGGAGGCTGAACCGCAGCAACTCTCATACGGTGCGCTTCCCCTCCGCAGACTTTTCGACTCGGGTATGTGGCCCAGGAGCTTTGGATCGGATCAACTTGTTCGCATGCAAGTAGATGGCACGGTCGGAAGCGGAAGTCCATCTACTTTCGCCCATCCACGCCCCTACGATAGGGCTAAACTCGACCAGTCCAGCACCTTGGCTTGGGCCAATCAACTCAGAGGTTTCAAACCTCCAGCTGGCCGGCATGCAATGTGTTCCCGCGGCTGTCCAGACGGAGGCGGGGATGACCAGGGTTTGGCCAAGCCTGAAACAAAAAGCAAACTGTTACGACATCCATGTGGGGGTTGTCAAACATGACTACCCTCTTTGGGCCATGGTTTATGTGGGCACGTTTTTGAAAGGGCCCAAAAGGGGTCCATATTTTTGAGAACCCACTTGGCTTTCCTTGGGCCGGGTTCGGGGTTCCCCATAGGGCCGCGAAATTTGGGGAGCATGACCCTAGTGATAGGGCCAAAAATGGAACTCTCCTGCAATCATCTTGGAAGAACCAAAGTCAAGCTGTGTCTTTTTTGGCACTGCTCAAATGAGGATGCGTGAAGCCCCCTGTCTTTTGGGCTTGCATGAAAATGACATCACACTTGGTCAACTTCCAACCTACCAAGGATTCGATTATTTCCGTTGTTCATCAGTGTGGTCAAATGCAAAGATGTCAGATATACGCCAACCCTCAACCCAAGTCAGGGTTCTCCTAGACCCGCAAAACACGGCTCGTCTTTGGCATGACCAAATAGACCCGTGGACCTTTTGAAACAAAGGCTTGGCTTGTGGAATCCGCCATTTCAAGCTTGGCAGACCACCACAAAGGCTGGTGTCCCCCCCTTCGCATCTCTTTGCAGCATGGGGTGAGTGGGTGCCCCTTTGCCCTGTTGTCCTCCAAATTCAGCAAGGGAATATAGACCTCTGCTCTTTGTTTTCCGGGAACCTCAAAAAACCTGGCAATGGCTTAAGGGGTTGAACTGCTCGCATGGGCGCTTCCAATGGGCGACCAAAAAACAGGTGGTTTCCTTCAGACTCCGGATCTGCGACGGAGCATTTCCGGATTTGCTGGGAACGCCTTTGCTGGAAACCAAAAGGAGGGTACCCTTCTCAGGTTGGTTCAGAATAAAGCCAAAAGGACGGCCACCATGTGGCGGGTCCATTTTTTTCTACTTAGACCATCGCAAATCAAATGGTTGGTTTTCCTTGGTGTTCCTTCAACGCAGCCCCAAAAAGGGTGCCCCTCAAAGCCACATGCCCAAACCGGGCTGAAAACGGTACCCTCGAATGACAAAGGTTCCACAAAGCACCTGAAAAGGTCCCTCAAATGAAAAAGGCCCCGAAGAAACAGCTGAACATACCCTCAAGTAAACAAACCAACAATCGCCCCAAAACAGCCGCGCAAAATCTGGGTTGTTCACCCTCCTTTGGAAAACCCGAAACACGTGATCCACCTTTAGCAGGCCCCTTTGTTTAACCAAGCCGAAGAAAATGATCCATTGCCGTCTTCAAGCAGGAGACGTTCGGCGCCTCGGAGCGCCGGACGAAGTGGGGCGCCCAAAAGATGGCAGCCCTGGCGGAGGAGAAACTCGGCAAAGGACTTGAGGCATTGGGTCATACTGTGCTTGGTGGCTCCCAGCCATCCGGTTCCGTTCAAAGGTTTAGTTGGTTTAGTGGGAGTTGCAGTATTCAACCCACTATCAACAGAAACAAAGCTGGGGATCTGGGGGCAGCCCAGCTTGGATGGACGAAATCCGTTCCCACCTCGAAATGCGTTGTTTGTCTGTATTTCTGGAGGAATCATTCCAGGGTTTGTTAGGTGGTGCAGGATTTAGTCCATCCACAGTAGATGTCCCTTTTGTTTGGTTAGTTTGATTAGAATATGATGGTGTCCACTGGTTTAGATAGGCTTTATGCCCCATTTACCAGTGAACCCCACCTATTTGCCAAAATCTCACCAGTGGTTTGTTTGTTTTAGATGTTGTGTCAGTCATGTACCGGCTTGGTTTGGACTGGTTTCAACCCCTGGTTGTGTGTGTGTCTGTGTTTGCGTCTGTGTTTGCGCCTGTGTGTTTTTGTTTTTTGTGTTCTCTCGCTTCTTTCGTTGCATCGTTTTGCACACGTGTGCGGGTCTGTGCGGGTGTTTGTTTGTCCTGTCCTGTCTTTTTGTGCTGTCCGTTCTGTCTGGCCTGTCTGTCCTGTCTGTTTTGTCAGTCCTGTCTGTTTTGTCTGTCCTCTCTCTCTCTCTGTTCTGTCTGTTCTGTTCTGTTTGTTCTGTCTGTCCTGTCTGTCTGTTCTGTTCTGTCTGTTCTGTTTGTCCTTTCTATCTGTCTTTGTGGGTTTGTTTTCGTGTGTTCGTTTTTGCGTGTTGTGTGTGTTGGATGTTTCTTTGCTGTTATGTTTGTTGTGTTTCGTAGTTGTTGTCGAAACAGTTTGCCTTTGTCGCGAGGCAAACCCGGTTGCTCGATCATAGCTCCCATTTTGCCTAGTGGTATCTCATTTTGAAGGTTCATGGCGCAAAGACAACTTGCCCAGGACCAAACTCAATGCCTTGGCTTCTAGGGGGGTATCAATTGATACCCCAAGTGCCCTTTTGGGGATAAGGGCGGCATATCGACAGCCCTTGGAAGGTGCTGGTTGCTGTACTTGTTTCATTTGGTGGATTGGAAATTGGTTGGCTTCTTGGCTTCTCTTTCACCAACCAAATGGCGACTGTTCCACGTTGAAACGAGAAACCGTTAAACGTTGAATCGAGGACCTGCTGGCCAGCATCTACTGAGACCATGGTATCTTCAGACGGGATCAAGCCCGGCAGGGACGCTGGGCAGAAATCCTCCTACCATACCACGATGCCCGAAATAATTACCGTGGATGGACGAAATCCTGCACCACCAAAGAAACCATGGGAAAGGAAACCATTGTTAGTTGGTATTGGGAATCATGTGACCACAGGCCTTCAGGTTGGTAGGGGCTTCCCTTAAGCAA